CACCCAATCCCATGTTTCAGATGGGAGAGGACGGGATGGTCCTGGTTACTTTCTACAAACATATATTACAGCGTGATGTCACAGAATACCATACTGTCTACCATATAGTATACCATAATGTCACAGAGTAACATATATCTATTCTGTGGTGATGTGATGATACAGGTACGCGACGCGTGGCGGGGAAAGTACAAAAGATCTAATTAGTCAGAGCTACATGTCGGCTTATTTCAGACCGAAAATCACGCGTTAATGACGTGTGCCAATAGACTGTACGCAAAACCACGTCAGTGGCAGACGGATGTGTATGACTGTCGGTGTATCCGACAAAAACATATACAAAAAGTTGCACTCCACTTGGCTCCTGGTCATAGTGGCAACACCGGATGGAGGATACTCTTCAGGATTTTTTGAAGACGATTTTTGATTGTTCCAAAAATCACGAAATCGAAATTTCCAAAAATGTTAAAAATTAAAAAATCTGAACATATTTGAGAGCATTTTGCAATTGATTATAAGACATATTTATTGTTAGAACATTTGTAGCAAAGTCCGCAGTTTTTGATAAAAACATTATGAATTTTATACAAAACATATTTTTGTTTCGGACCCCATTTTGTTTTGCCAAAATTTTTCGAAAACAATATAGAACCATTTACTTTAAATGTAGGTCTCAAGGCCTCGATTTTATAGAACCCGGGGATTATCTGTTTCTTAAAGAAATTCAAGTCTAGATGTTTTTTTGCCGAATAAATCGTAATTTTGTTACATTTTTCTATAACTTTTTATCAATTTTTAAAAAAGTCGAAGGCCATATTCTTAAAAAGCATTATATTTTACGTCGGAATTGACCTGATCGAAATTATTTCAGCACTGATAACTTTGAAAATAAACTATTACACGATACACAACGTATGAAAGTTCCATCTGTTTTAAATTCCTCAATGTTTTTGATTATATTTTGTAATTTATATGCGTATTTGCGAACTCAACATCAATTTCGATGAAATGTGGTTTCAGGAGGATGGTTGTCCTGCTCATAATACGATGAGAGTAATGGAGTTCTTTCGCGAAATATTTCCTGATCGTATTATAGCAGGCAGAGGTTCCATTTTGTGGCCAGCAAGGTCGCCTGACCTTACACCTTGCGATTTTTTTCTTGGGGTTATGTGAAACCTCTTGTTTATAAACATAGCCACGAACGAACTAGAATATTAGAGGAGCTTAATACAAAAATTATGGCTACTTTTGAAACCATAACCCCACAGACACTCCAAGAAGTGAGGCGTAGTTTTTATGACCGGCTAGGTTATTGCCTAGCTCAGTCCGGTGGTATTTTTGAACCTCTAATTAAATAGGTTCTAAACTAACGTTGTTTTGTTATAGCACTTTTTACTTTTAGAAACTGTATTTTATTTTTATTTCGTTTTTTAAATAATATATCAAAAGCACTTTTTACTTTTATAATTCGTTTTTTATTTTATGTGTTTTATTTATGTATATCAAAAGAATTTCTATTTTGTTTTATGAGAATCATTCGTTTATTTTTTAACCAGTTGGTAATAAAGAATGCAAATGACCCTATTCTATAAATTTCTGTTACGGTCAATAAAATAGATTGAGGGTATCAGAAATTTATTTTGTAAATAAAACAATTACGTTAATGTTACCTTCGCGCATAAGAGAAGCTCACCCAAGTTACTGATTCAGAATTATTCAATATGAATCCAGTACGAGACAAACGATGCGCGTGCTGTCCGTACCTTATTGCTACTGGTGACCAGAGCGGCACATTATAACCAGATACCAAGATCAGCATTTTCGTAATCGGTATATAATTTGCAATTGGCGTTCTCGTAATTCGTGGCGGCAGAAGTGAAGAGTGGTGGACCGGGACTCCCGGAATGTCTGTGTGAAGTCATTCTTCACACGCGTAGCAAAATTGCAGAGTTAACTGCGTTCAACTATCCAGAGCTCCCGCACGGTATACAACGAGTCCCAGAGCATTACCAGGCACGGTCAGTGGAGTACGTATGCACGGGTAAGAAATACACGCGTACATAATTTACAAGGCGATTAAAAAATACGACTTATACTTTAATTATCATAGAGTTCTATAGTGCCGACTCTGCGTAAATGGGTGCCATACCCATTTCCGGATCCTATATATCACAATTGGTATGACGACGAAACAATCGCTATAAAATAAACAATCAACTAAACGGCAAGAACTTATTCCTCAACCTTATAATATCGAAAACAACCTTCCTACGTCAATAGAGGTATGTAGGAGGTTCATAAGAATAAAATTGTCCAATATCAGTGTCATCGACACCCGTTTACATACAGTGAATTTCGAATTTGTAACACAGTTGCCTTCAGATTATTCATAATTACATTATAGGTATACCCTTGGAAAAACTTTTGAGTATTTTGAGAGTTGAGAACTTCTATCAAAAACTCGGTTTACATGTAGAAACAGTAAATCTGAGATTGAAAAATAACGTGTTTTTTGAGACAATTACAAAGTTATAAAAAATACCTGAAAACATAAATATACATACATATGTACATGCTACATTGAGAAGTTAACATTATTTTTGAGAATTAGGATGATGTCGTTTGAGGGTGATTAAATTTTGCAAGCTCAAATAAGCACAATGGATAAAAAAGTGTTTTCAAAGAGCAAAAAAAAATATTCTGTTAAATTACGACATGGCAAACGTTAGCCAATGCTGGTTATTGGGTTTTCCATGCTGTCCGGACGAAATACATATGGCCGATGAACGCAAATCAATTGCAAATGTTGGTATTGCCAATGCATTTGCTATGAAGGCGATTTTTTTATATACAGGGTAGGGTGTCTCAGCTTTTAGTTTACAGACTTTATCTGTTCACCCAGGATAGTTAGCAAAAAACTTTATATATAAAAGTTACTTGAATTCATGAGGGCTATAAAATGACATATTCCGTTTGACATGTGCTAGTGACCTTGAAGTTATGTCTTCAAACGTTTTCGAGATTTTCAAAGTCAAACAATGGTACGTGCAACATGCAATAGAGGATTAATACGCCGTTTAGAAGCTGAAAAATTTATTAAACTAATTGCTTATAATTACTGAAATATCCCATTGATCTGATTAAAATTACTTTTAACAATGCCTCTCAATTGTTTCAAAACTGACAAGGCAAACTGAAAATTCTTTGTATTGTAAAATAATAGCTGTTTGACTTTGAAAATCTCGAAAACGGTTGAAGATAGGTATAGGGTATGTTACATGAAATACGTGTATAATTGTTCGGTAAATACAAAAATGTCGAAAAATACAGGGTGTTGTATTTAAAAAAACTCATATTGACACTGACATAACTTCAAGGCCACTAGCACATGTCAAACGGAATATGCCATTTTATAGCCCTCATGAATTCAAGTAACTTTTATATATAAAGTTTTCTGCTAACTATCCTGGGTGAACAGATAAAGTCTGTAAACTAAAAGCTGAGACACCCAGTATATCAGAGTTGTACCAATGTTGGTCTTGATGCGATCATGGTCAATGCTATCACGTTTGTTTTTGCGTTCGGACGATTTGAACATGACATTTTTAGATTATTATTTGTGTTATATGAAGAAAAAATATTTTTATATATTCATATCAAGAATTATATATATTATATACTCATATGAAGAAAAAATTGATTTAAAAAACAAAGGTGCTCGATATTATTATTGAGACTCCAGGTGTATGTCGCGGAAAAACATATACATAAGCGCCAATTTAATAAAGACATTTATTCGAACAATAATTGGAAATGTGGGTGAAACAAAAAAATGCTTTATTTTGTTTTCCTTGTTTACTTTTTGGCGGTGATAAAGCATGGACGGAGGTAGGCGTGACTTATTTAGTGCACTTGACTGAGAAAATAAAAATAAGAGAAAATTATTTAGAGAAAATTATATGAGCAAATTATTTATATCAAAAATTGATGCTTGCAACGCCAAGGTTACAGACAAGTTTGCTTCTATCAAGGATCGTAGGATTGAATTAACTTTCAAAAAATAGGTGAGTAAACATTTGCAGAACACCCGCTTCATTTCATCACGAGCCGCCACTGTTGAGAGAATTCCGAGAGTTCGAAGACAACAAAACTAAAGTCAAAACGATATTGCAGGAGGTCATAGGTTGTAACGTTTTTAGATATTTCTTAAGACATTAGGGTTATAAAAAATACTAATAAATTATAAAATTATTCATTAAATTATAAAATGAAAGACTACTTATTGGATTAAAAAGTGATGTACTTGTACTGTTGTAACTGAGATACGATACTTGTGACTTTGTAATTAAAATAATGTATATAGGTGCGCGCTCGTCCAGACCATCAGAAAAAAAGGAACTAAGGAAGTAAAGTGACCAGACGTCCGTCATTATGACGGACAGTCCGTCATTCAGAAAGCTTGTCCGTCTTCAAGACCAAGAGTCCGTCATTGAAATTTTTTTATTAAAATGTCCGTAATTACGTCTTCTAGGTTAATCTGAAGACGTATCGACGTATCGTATAGATCGTGATTAAATATTAGTATTTCAAAAAGGCATCAAATTCCAAAAAGTATCCTTGTGAAAGTCTATATTTTTATGTAAATGTATTTTTCATTGAAATTGTGAAGTGCCAGGAAAACGCGTGACCTTGAAAGTTTAAAAAATTTTGGCCTGCGGCGCTTTTTTAGCTCGCGCCGTAAGGCGCGAAAAATTAATTCTAACTTCGTTAATGTGAACCAGCTGAACATGTCCATCTTTGGCAAAATCAAAATTTGGTCACTTTATTTAAAAAAAAGTGTGGAGACAAGAAATTACAGAAAGTATTTTTACTTGTTTCTATTAATTTATCCCAATTATTATTATTCGCGTCATTTTAATGTACTTATGTGTACTCCGATTCCAATTAATTTTAACGGACATTATAGGTGATAAATATTGTAAAACACAAAGGTCCTTATCGGCTCGTTAGCTCAGCTGGTTAGAGCAACACACTGATAATTCAAATGTGGAGGTCGTAGGTTCGATCCCTACACGAGCCTTTTTTTTGGTTCATGTTTCAAAATATTTAGAAAATAAAAAGGAAAGTTAAGAATTTTACAAGTAGCTTTATACGAATGATGCAAACGTTTTGCTTCTAGAAATCCGTTATTTGTGTCTACTAATTGATACAATTTCATAATTGATGATCAAATCATTGTCATTGGTCATCATGGACCCCGTACAAACCTTATGGGATTTGGTTCTCGGTTAAATTGATCGAAAATGGTTTTATTTTATGGTTTAAATATCACTAAGAAAAAGTGTCCATGGGCGCATAGCCTAAAAACCAATAGATTTTTAGCTACAGATGTGTTTAGTTCGGTAATCGAGACGAAAAATAAAGAAACAATCCAACAGTTCTCAGTATCTAACAATTTTCTTAGCTTTAATCTATAAACATTTAAGGCCTAGGGGTATGTTTTCGAGTGCACTGAATCCGAATATGACATTAGTTTTTTTTTTATACAGGGTGATACCCACCAACCAACATAACTGAGTTTTTGCCTGTTTTTTCTCCGTTTTTCGCGTAAATAACTTAATTATTATTATTAATTATCATTAATTATTATTAACTATGTATTAATTAGTATTTAACAACTTATCATTTAATTAACTTATTTACGCGAAAAAACAGAAAAAAAAACAGTCAAAAACTAGGTTGTGTTGGTAGGTATCACCCTGTATAAAAATACTAATGTCATATTCGGATTCAGTGCACTCGAAAACATACCCCTAGGCCTTAAATGTTTATAGATTAAAGCTAAGAAAATTGTTAGATACTGAGAACTGTTGGATTGTTTCTTTATTCTTCGTCTCGATCACCGAACTAAACACATCTGTAGCTGAAAATCTATTGGTTTTTAGGCTATGCGCCCATGGAGAATTTTTCTTAGTGATCTATAAACCATAAAATAAAACCATTTTCGATCAATTTAACCGAGAACCAAATCCCATAAGGTTTGTGCGGGGTCCATGATCACCAATGACAATGATTTGATCATCAATGTTGATGCATGTGGTTTGGATGCGGCTTCAGACATCTGTATTTGATGAAACCTAATTTTGAAATTGTATCAATTAGTAGACACAAATAACGGATTTCTAGAAGCAAAACGTTTGCAACATTCGTGTAAAGCTACTTGTAAAATACTTAACTTCCCTTTTTATTTTCTAAATATTTTGAAACACGAACCAAAAAAAAAGGGCTCGTGTAGGGATCGAACCTACGACCTCCACATTTGAATAATCAGTGTGTTGCTCTAACCAGCTGAGCTAACGAGCCGATAAGGACGTTTGTGTTTTACAAAGTCTATTACCTATAATATCCGTTAAAATTGGAATCGGATACATAAGTACAGTAAAATGTTGACGCGAATAATAATAATTGGGATAAATTAATAGAAACAAGTAAAAATATTTTCTGTAATTTCTTGTCTCCACACTTCTTTTTATTTCCTTTTTTCTTCTGATGTGCTGGACGAGCGCCCATCTAAATACATTATTTCTAATTACAAGGTTACAATTATCGTATCTCAGTTGGAAAGTACAGCGCCAGCTTTAGTAATTTAAGATCCAATAAGTGGTCTTTTATTTTATAATTTATTGAATATTTTTATAATTTATTAGTCTTTTTTATAATCCTTAAGGTGTTAACAAATATCTAAAAACATTACAACATATGATCTCCTGCAATATCGTTTTGACTTTAGTTTTGTTGTCTTCGAACTCTCGGAACTCTCGGAATTTTAACAATAGCTTGTCATGAACTAACAGATCGAAGGGCCGTTTTGCTGACTTGTTTTTTAACATTTCCTCTCACTTTCTTTTAACATTTCTTCTCAGTGCCAGAAATGTGTGCAAAATTTGATTAGAAATAGACAGTTTCATTGGGTGATCCATCCACATATATGTACATTAGGGTGGACCTTAATATATTTTTTTTCGTTTTTTCTTAGCGGGCCGGGTGAAAATCAGTTCTGGGTACCTAAAAACTTGTGCGGAAACCAAAACTGTCGCGATGGGAACCTTTTTTCCCGTGCCGCAAAGCGCCGGAAGTTTCTTATGGGATTTACACGTTAAAAATCACTGAAAACGTTCGATATGCTCAAAAACAATGAAAATCATCAAATCTGATAGTCGTAAGATGAATCAGATGGAATCTGATTGTATGTAAAATTCAGGAGCGTATGGTATATGGCGGAATGCAATTTTTCTGGTTTTTCAATCCTGATTCTCAAACGATAGATTATCCTGCATCGACTTGCATAATTTAACGGTAGTATGAAATGCTCCATATGATACGAATAATTCATCATCTTAATATAATATTACCCTTAACTTGAAATCATTTTACATTGACTATAAGAGAATTTCGGATTGGAACATACTATAGTGTCCGACGTTCGTACACGTTAGCACCATACTTTGGAGTTGGGGAGCTGCGTCGTGGTATAATCTGGTAGTAATACAACTATCTATGTTATATGCTTGTTTCTCAACAATCGAGTAGTTTAAGGGTTATTCAAGCTTGATCAAACAAAAGAACGGAAGATTGAATTCTCGAAAAAAATACGGTTTTTCTCTTAAAGTTGGTAGCTTCATTCGCTCTGACATTAGCCGCGGAAATTTCTTCGCATTACTACCAACTTCAAGAGAAGTCGAGAGAGAAGTTTCGAAGAGAAGAATTGAAATTGGCGACGGTCGTAAAGTTGTCGTTTGAATAGATTCGTTCGGGAATACGCCTCGGAGCGATCCAAGCAATCTGAGCAGTTCACCCGAACACGCGATTTTGATCCGAGCACTCCGAGGTCTCCGAAGCGCTCCGAGCGCGCGCCAAATACAAATAACCTGAAACTAATTTATTCCGTTCTTATTTGTCCAGTTTAACAAGTACATCGATTGGATTTTGTTGGATTTGACTTGATTAGGTCAATTCAATCGATTTAATTACTAAATTGTACAAATAAAAACGGTTTAGATTAATTTAGTGTTTGTTTACATTCGTGTGTTTACGTCCGAATCACTCGGATCGCTTGGAGCGCTCGAATCAAAAACGCGTGTTCGGGTGAACTGCTCAGATTGCTCGGATCGCTCCGAGGCGTATTCCCGAACGAATCTATTCAAACGACCACTTTACGACCGTCGCCAATTTCAATTCTTCTCTTCGAAACTTCTCTCGACTTCTTTTGAAGTTGGTAGTAATACGAACGAATTTTTTTTTTTTTAGTTTAATTTAGTTTAGTTTAAAAAAAAAGACGAAATAATTTATTATGGTGATTGTACCTGATTCTGAGGAGTATTAAGCATATCATGATTCAAAAGTAGTGGTAAAAACCTACAATTTGACGTCCGGTTGAAGTCTGTAGGTGCCTCTGAACCGGAATTACGATCATTTCAAGTTGTACGCAAAATTTAGGAGCGTATGGCGATTCCACCTGATTCAGGAGGAAAAAATACATGGAAATATATCCTTGCGACCATCAGATTTGATGATTTTCATAGTTTTTGAGCGTATGGAACGTTTTCAGTGATTTTTAACATGTAAATCCCATAAGAAACTTCCGGCGCTTTGCGGCACGGGAAAAAAGGTTCCGATCGCGGCAGTTTTGGTTTCCGCCAAGTTTTTAGGTACCCAGAACTGTACCCAGAACGGAAAAAAATATTAAGGTCCACCCTAATATACACATTCAGTGGAATGGAATTATATTATAGTATAACTGAACGACTTTTAAAGAATGTTTAATGGCTAATTAGGCCTAAAATGATTTCTAATGTTGAGATTTTTAGTTTAAGCGATAACAACAATTTCTCTGCTTGTTAACTTATTTCGTTAACGTGACAATTCGAGAACGTATTAAAATATCAACTTCAAATTTGTAACGGTTATGTATTATGTGGAGGTCTGAAAATAATTAGATTTTGAGAATAATCATTTGGATACAAGAGGTTCTACAGCTATTTGCTCGGCTATTGGACATAATACACTCTCAATAGTTAACCAGGAATCCAGAAATTGAGAATAAATATTATAAAGCGCATTCTTAAATATTTTTATATAACCTCTTTATTAAAAACAGAACTCTAAAAATAAAAATAACACAATTAAAACTACATATTCTAATCTGGTCTTTAATAAATGTTCAAACTGTGCCCCGTTGACTTTTCGACAGTAACCAAGCCGCGATTCAAATTCTCCAATCATGTTACATATCATTTCAGCGAGTAATTTTTTGAATTTCGTAACTTATTTTATTTTTTAAGTCCATTTATACTAGTAGGCTTATTTACACACACGTTATGTTTTAAATAACTCCAAAAATAAATCCATGGGGATTAGGTCAGGCGATCTAGTAGGAAACTCGAATTGACCCATTCGCCCAATCCATCGACCCGGAAATACTCCGTACAAATATTAAATTAAATCATTAATTTAATTTATATTCTTAAGAATGCGCTTTATATTATTTATTCTCAATTTCTGGAATTCTGGATAAATTTTTCGAAAATCGCCAAAAACGCCTCACGTAATTAATGGACGCCCCCTAATGGCAAAGCCAAACCGTGAATAAAGATGTTCATGCGAGTTATCGTTATATGGATTTTTTCAATATTAAAAAGGGAATTAATTGTAAACATTTTAATGTTTTAAAATGCATTGTTGGTGCTTAAATATACAAGTAAAAAAAGAGCAGGGCAAATTGGTAGTAAAAGTTAATAAACGTGTTTTTTTAATGAGAAGAAGAATTAGTAGAAAAGCCCACGAAAGTTTTGGAATTTTTAAAAAATACGTAAAAAAAATATAATACACCCACCAATACTAGTTACAAATGGTGCAGTGTAATTTTTTGTATGTAGATAAATATAAATTATTATAAATGTTACGAATAGCAAGTGTATTCAATGTTACAGTATTTGTAACCTTCTTAGAAGGATTACCCCTCCTTGCGGGCCCTTATTAAATTGTTTTTTTTTTTTTTTTTAAATAAAAGGACCATCCCGC